TGGCCACTTTGAGTGGCACGGCTTTAAATTATTATGCTATTCATCCTCCTTGAACTGACATTGCACTTCATCTTTCACTTACCACCTTCCACATGCTACACACACACACACACACACACATACACACACTCCCTGAAATCAGAGACATTCTCCTTAGTCTCCTCCAGTCAGGATGTCTATCTAGTACAATATCTACCACATAGGAGGAAAAGGCTCGATCAGTAGTTTTTAAATTAATTTTAATTAAAAGCACTATCATTAATTAAACTTTAGGAAATGTATACCAGGTATACCACACAACTGGATTGTGCAGTCATATTCAAGAAACTGTCATTCTTTCAACAATGGCTTAATGTCCCCCATGTGGCAGGTCTGTATTAGATGCTAAAGACATAATAAAGAACACAGTTCCCACTAGTCAGTGTGTGGGGGGAGGGGAGCTGACATATGAATAGATTATTACAGCCCAGAGCACTAAGTGACATGATAGAAGTGTGTGTCAAGTGCTGAAAGAGCAACCAACTCTCTGGGGCATCAGAAAAAGATAAAGCACATCTTTAGTCCTAAAACAATTGAAGTACTATCAGCTGTGAGAGCTAAAGTCACAGCTTATTATCCAGTCTCCTAGACAGCATGTTTAGCACAGTTACACTAAGTTACAAAGGTTTAAAAGTTCAAATTTAACTTAAGGACTTAAAATAAGATCCCTGGAGCAGCCAGAAATGGGTTAAATCTAGGCCACTTATTGGTTCTTTGGGCTTTCTAAGCCTTGGTTTCCTCATCTGTAATGGAAATATACTACTATCTAATGAGTAAGAAAGTATAACTTTTGCCATATCCACATATTGTGCCATGTTTTACCTTGCCACAATGGTAAACCACACAAATGATTATTAATTAAATATAATTAATAAGGCAGCGGTTTGGCGCCTGCCTTTGGCCCAGGGCGCGATCCTGGAGACCTGGGATCGAATCCCACATCCGGCTCCTGGTGCATGGAGCCTGCTTCTCCCTCTGCCTGTGTCTCCGCCTCTCTCTCTCTCTCTCAATGTGTGACTATCATAAATAAATTTAAAAAAAAATAAAAAATAAGCTTTTGGGGGTACCTGGGTGGCTCAGTGGTTGAGCGTCTGCCTTTGGCTCAGGTTGGGATCCCAGGGTCCTGGGATCAAGTGCTGCATCAAGCTCTCCACAGGGAGCCTGCTTCTCCTTCTGCCTATGTCTCTGCCTCTCTCTCTTTGTCTCTCATGAATAAATAAATAAAATCTTATAAATGAATGAATGAATGAATGAATGAATGAATGTAAACTTTTTGTAGAGCAACTGGGATTCATGTTGCTGATGAGGAAGAAAATGGTATACCCACTTTGGTAGGCAGATTCTTATAAATTTAAAAATCAGGGCAGCCCCAATGGTGCAGCGGTTTAGCACTGCCTGCAGCCTGGGGTGTGATCCTGGAGACCCGGGATCGAGTCCCACATAGGGCTCTCTGCACAGAGCCTGCTTCTCCCTCTGCCTGTGTCTCTGTCCCTCTCTCTCTCTGTCTCTATGAATAAATAAAATCTTTTAATTAAAAAAAAAAATCAGGGCACCTGGGTGGTTCAGTGGCTGAGCATCTGCCTTTGGCTCAGGTCATGATCCCATGGTCCTAGGATCAGAGTCCTGCATCAGGCTCCCCATAGGCAGTTTGCTTCTCCTTCTGCCTATGTCTCTGCTTCTCTCTCTGTGTCTCTCATGGATAAATAAATAAAATCTTAAAAAATAATCCACTGTACTTACCATTCGACCCAGCAATCACACAGAAATGAAAACTTATGTGTTCACAAAAACCTGTATATGTTTATAGTGGCTTTGTTTATAACTGCCAAAAACTGGAAATAACACAAATGTCCTTTAATTCATTGAATAGATAAACAAACATACATCCATTCAATGAAATGATAATCAGCAACAAGAAGGAACAAACTATTTGATACAGGCAAAAACAGAGATGAGTCTCAAATACATTATCCTTAGTGGAAGAAGCCAGACTCAAAAGAAAAAAATTCTGTATAATTTCACTTATATCACATTCTGGAAAAGGCAAAACTATGGGACAGAAAACAGACCAGTAGTTGTGAGGGACTGGGATTAAGGGGAGGGATTAACTACAAAGGCAGGATGGAACTTCTTGAGATAGTGTAAATGTTCTATTTTAATTGTTTTTTTTTATGATAGGCACACAGTGAGAGAGAGAGAGAGGCAGAGACACAGGCAGAGGGAGAAGCAGGCTCCATGCACCGGGAGCCCGACGTGGGACTCGATCCCAGGTCTCCAGAATCGCGCCCTGGGCCAAAGGCAGGTGCTAAACCACTGGGCCACCCAGGGATCCCGAATGTTCTATATCTTGATTATGACGGTATTTACTGTGTGCATTTGTCAAAACTCATAGAAATTGTCTGCTGAAAGGGTGAATTTTACTGAATGTAAATTATATCTCAATAAGTCTGTCTTTATATCACTATTGTAAATGGAAGACTAGTTTCAGCTGCTATCAATAGAGATTTGTTTTAAGAAATAAAAGGGGTGTCTGGATGGTTCAGTCGGTAGAACACAACTCTTCATCTCAGGGTCATGAGTTCAAGCCCCACACTGGGCCTAGAAATCACTTAAAAGAAAAAAAAAAGTACAACGGAAAGAAAACAAAATAATGTAAAATTCTAGCTAGATATTATGCTAGCCAAAGACTCGGAGTCTGAGGTCTCTTCCGTGCTATGAAAATTAGGAAGTGCTGGAGTGGCATTCAGGACATACTAGAATCACACAAAGAATTTCTCCTTGACATAATTAGGTTGAATGAGAGTTAAAAAGGGAAGAAATTTCTCACCATGTGATTTAATGTTATTTAAAGCAAACAACAGGGCATCCCACACTTTCTGAAACACTGAGATAAGATATATAAAGTGCCTCGCCTGGAGTAGGTAGCCAGTAAATGTTAGTTCTCCTTCCCTACAGTTTTCCAGCAAATCCAAAGATTAAATGAAAAGCAGAGCAGATAAAGAAACCCTAAAAAAATGGGGAGATATACCTTGTTAATAGATCAGGGGAATCAAATCGATGTCAATTCTCTTTAAATTGACTCACAGATTCAACATAATCCCAATAAAATTCCATCAGATTCCTTTATGTAGAAATCAACTAATTCTAAAATTTATATAGAAAACCAAATGAAGGGGTCCCTGGGTGGCTCAGCGGTTTGGCACCTGTCTTTGGCCCAGGGCACGATCCTGGAGTCCCGGGATTGGGTCCCACGTCAGGCTCTTACCATGGAGCCTGCTTCTCCCTCTGCCTGTCTCCGCCTCTCTCTCTCTCTATGTCTATCATGAATAAATAGATAAAAAACCTTTAAAAAAAAAAAAAAAGAAAGAAAACCAAAAGAGGGCAGCCCAGGTGGCTCAGCGGTTTAGCACCGCCTTTAGCCCGGGGCCTGATCCTGAAGACCTGGGATCAAGTCCTACGTCAGGCTCCCGGAATGGAGCCTGCTTCTCCCTCTGCCTCTCTCTCTCTGTGTGTGTCTCTCATGAATAAATAAATAAAATCTTTAAAAAAAATGAATAAAAAAAGAACAAAGTTGTAGTTTCAGTAATCAAGGTACAGTAATCAAGACAGTGTGATACTGGTATAAGCATAGATACATAAGTCACAATAATAACAGAATAGAGTTAAGAAATAGACCCACACATACATGGTTAATTGATTTTCAAAAAGTGCTAAGATACACTGATAAAGATAGAAAATCTTTTTTAACAAATGGTGCTGGAATAACTGGATATTTATATGTAAAAAAAGAATTTTGACCCATATCTCATACCATCCCCCCCCTAAAAAAAACCCCTAAAAATAGATAATGGACCTAAATGTAAAACTTAAAACTATAGAACTTCTAGAAGAAAACACAGGAGAATATTTTTCTTAGATATGACACTTAACGCATGAATGATAAAAGAAAAAATTAATAAACTGAACACCAAACTTAAAAAAAAAGTCTGCCCTCCAAAGGACTCAGCTAAGAAGATGACAAGGTAAGTCATAGGCAGGGAGAAAATATTTGCAAAACACACACTGAAAAAAAAACTGGTATCCAAAAATAGATACAGAATTTTCATAATTCAAGAATAAGAAAACAAACAACCCAATTTTAAAAATGGACAAAAGATTTGGACATGTCATCAAAGCAGATATACAGAAGGCAAACAAGCATATAAAAAGATGTTCAAAATCATTATTTACTAGAGAAATGAAAATTAAAAACTCCGAGATACCACTATATATTTATTAGAATAGCATTAGGAAAAAATTGACAGTACCAAGTGCTGACCAGGAAAAGGAATTACTGTAATCATCATACATTGTTGGTGGGAAAACAAAATGGTGCAGCCACTTTGGAAAACAGATACCAGTTTTTTATAAAGTTAAATATACAGTCATCATATAACCCCTAAATCCCAGGCTTAGGTAGCTATCCAGGAGAAAAGATATCTGCCCCACAAAAACATACATAAAAATGCTTATGGAGCTTTAGTCAAAATCACCAATAAAAGGAAGCAATACATATGTACATCAACTGGTGAATGGATAAGCCAATTAAGGTCCACCATATAATAGAACACTACTCAGCAATAAAATATATGGAAGAATCTTAAACACATTATGCTGAGTGAAAGAGGCCAGACACAAAAGCCTACATACTGTATGATTCCATTTACATGAAATTCTGGAGACTTGAAACAATGGGACAGAATATTAATTGTTGGTTGCCAGGGATATGACTACACCTGGGCACTAGGGACATTTTGGGGTTAATGGAATTGTTTTATATTCTGATTGTGGTAAACTATATGCCTAAAAAGGGTGAATTTTACTAAATGTAAATTATGTCTCAAAACCTCATTTAACAATAACAATAAAGCAGAGTATGCTACTCAAACCAAGAATATCCCATGCAAAGGCATCCTTCATACCTTTCCTCAACTTTAATGGATAGATGGTTGCAGAGGTGGTGAACATATTGGGCATAACTCTCTGCTAGGGCCATGTCGTATGCAGTCAGGTGAATGTTTAAAACTCCATATTCATAATCTGTCCCCAGATTAATGGGTCTCAGTTCTACTTTTCCCTTCTTCTTCTTGGGCTGAACAGAAAACAAAAGGAAAAAGAAAATAAAAGTATTATACAAAAAATTCTAATCATCTCATCTTGATATCAAAGAAATCAGTCTTTCAAATAAGTTTGTTTACCATTTTTCTCTCTTTGGTTACCTTACCTTCAAACTGAAGTTCCCCAAGGAAGAAATGGTTGGCTTCCCTTGCCAGTCTGGGCTGTGATATCAGCCAATGAAAGGAGAGAGACTATTGCTGGCATTACTTTAATACGAATACAAGTGACTATCTTCTACAATTAACTTATTATGAGACTCACCACCTCCCATCTCTGGTCCTCAGCTCCCCAATTTTTAAATTATTGGGGTTATACTAGATAACAGATTCTTAATCTAGAACCCATTGAGGAATTTCAAGTGGTCTATCAACCTCAAACTTTATACATAAAGTTTTATAAGTGTATATTTTTCTTTTTTTTTTAGTGTATATTTTTCTTAAAGAATTGTTAGCTTTCATCAGAATCTTAAATCAATTGCAAGGACTCCGCATTAGATCTCTTCCAGCTCTCCTAGCTTTGAAATTCTGCAATCATTTAGTCTTCCTTTTAAGAATTGAGAGGTAGATGGGGCACTTGGGTGGCACAGTTAGTTAAGCATCCAACTCTCGATTTTGGCTCAGGTCCTGATCTCAGGATCATTAGATCAAGCCCTGCATTGGACTCCATGCTCAGCACACTCTGCTTGGGTTTTTTGCCTTCTCCCTCTGCCTCTCCTCCCAACCCACTCCCTGAACACATGTTCACATGCACATGTACTTGCTCTCTCTCTTTCAAATAAATACATCTTAAAAAAAAAAAGAAAGAAAGAAAGAATTGAGAGATAGACAAATTATCTGTACTTTACCCTTTTGTATTACTTCGCTATGTATCAATCTGTGCAGGCTGCAGTAAAAAGTTAAAATGAGGCCTGGGAAAGTAGATATTTAACCCAACATAGATCAGGATCAAGAAAGTTTCTCAACTGGAAATAATCTAACCTAAATCCCATCTAGAGGAGGGACCTGTTAAATATATCATGGAACATCCATACAATAATACATTATGCAGCTGTAAGAAGGAATAAGGCATTTCTTTATGTACTACTATATGGAAAGGTCTTTAAAATAAGTGATAAAAGCAAACTGTAGAATAACATGTTCAAAATATTGCCATACATATAAAAAAGTGTGTGTATAATTATAGACATATTTATTTGCTTGCATATTCAAAAACTATGTCTGGAAGGATGCACAAAAATACTAATATCATTGGCTGCTTATGAGAGAACTGGATAGCTCAGGCATATAAGTGGGAAGGAGACTTTTTAACTATTTCCCCTCTGTATTTAAAAAATTTTTAATAATGTAAATCTTTTGTCAGTTCATAACTAGAATCATAAAATTACTTTCTTGAATTTTATCTTTATTTTTTATTTACTTTGTAAAATTTTATTTATGTATTTATTTGAGAGAGAGTGGGCCTGGGGGGAGAAGCAGAAGGAGAAGGAGAGGCAGGCTCTACACTGAGCAGGGCATGATCCCAGGACCCTGGGATCATGACCTAAGCTGAAGGTAGATGCTTAACCGACTAAGTTACCCAGGTGTCTCTATTTTTTTAAGATTTACTTATTCATTTGAGAGAGAGAGAGTGATGTGAGTAGGGGGAGGGGCAGAGGAGAGAATCTTCAAGAGAACTCCCCAGTGAGCACAGAGCCTGACGTGGGGTTGATTCCACAACCCATGAGATCATGACCTGAGGTAAAACCAAGAGTTAGATGCTTAAATGACTGAGCCATCCAGGCGCCCCTCTACTATTTTTTTTAAGATTTTATTTTTAAATATCTCTACAGCCAACATGGGGCTCAAACTTAGAACCCCAAGTTCAAAGATCACAAACTCTACTAACTGAACCAGCCAGGTGCCCCAAAAATCTACTATGGTTTTAAAAAATTTTTTAGTAAAAATTTTATTGGAATACAGTATTCATACTGAAAAAAATGCATAAATAGCACAACTCAATGAATTTTCAAAACGTGAAAATACTTCACAAAGTGAAAATACATGTATAGTCAGTATCCTGATAACAAATAGACCACTACCAGCACCCCAAAAGCTCCTGCCTCCCAACCACTATGCTTATTTCTTTTTTTTTTTTTTTTTTTACTCAATCATGAGAGACAGAGAGAGAGGCACAGACACAGGCAGAGGTAGAAGCAGGCTCCACACAGGGAGCCTGATGTGGGACTCGATACCCGGTCTCCAGGATCACGCCCTGGGCTGAAGGCCACACTAAACCACTGAGCCACCGGGGCTGCCCACTATTCTTATTTCTAAAACCATTTGCCTGTTTTTAAAATTCATGAAAATGAAATGATACACTATGTTCTCTTTTATATCTGGCTTCTTTCGTTCATTATATTTGTAAGATTCATCATGTAGTAGCTGAAACAACAGTTCTTTCCTTCTCATTGCTCTAGTAGTCTATTATATGAATATGCAACAATCTTTTTTTTTTAAGATTTTATTTATTTATTCATGAGAGACACAGAGAGAGAGAGAGAGAGACAGAGACACAGGCAGAGGGAGAAGCAGGCTCCATGCAGGGAGCTCTATATGGGACTCCAGGATCATGCCCTGGGCCGAAGGCAGGCACTAAACCACTGAGCCACCCAGGCGTCCCTATTTATCTTTTTTTAAATCTTTTTTTACAGTTGATGGAAATCTGGGTTGTTTCCAGTGTGGGACCATAATGAATAATAGTGCTACTTATGTTCTTGTATGTATCTTTCAGTGAACACATGTATGCATTTCTATTGGGGATATACCTAGAACCTGAACTACTGACTTAGAGTGTATGCATATTCGTCTTTAATAAATACTCTAAAACAGTTTTACAAAGATATTTCCAATTTAGTCTCCCATCAGAATTAATGAGAGTTCTAATTGTTCTATATCCTTGCCAACACAAAACTTAGAGTCACGTTTTCTGGTTTGTTTTAGCCATTCTGGCTGGTATGTGATAATGAATTTGGGTTTTAACTTGTGGTTCCTTTACGTCTATTGAGCCTAAGCACCTTTCCATTTGGATACTCTCTTTTGTAACCTGTCTATTCAAGTATTTTGCTCATTTTTTAGATTGGGTTGTCTACCTTTCTCTTATTGATTTGTAGACATTCTTTCTATACTCTAGATTTGATCCTTTGTTAAATAAACGTGCTGCAAGTATCTTCTCCCTCCCCATAGCTTCCCTCTTCACTTTTTCATGGTGCATCCTGAGGAGCAGAAGCTCTTTTTTTTTTTTTTTTAGAAGCTCTTTTTTTTAATGTAATTCAATTTACTCATTCATTTACAGTTACAGTGATTTCTGTGTCCTACTTAAGAAATCTCTATCTTAAGATCATGAAGATATTCTCATATGTTATTTTCTAGTAGTGTGATTATTTTAAGCATTTACATTTAGATCTACAATCTATTTTTATTTATTTTTTTTTATATTTATTTATTTATTTATTTTTAAAAAATGATTTTCTTTTTTTTTAATTTTTATTTATTTATGATAGTCACACACACAGAGAGAGAGAGGCAGAGACATAGGCAGAAGGAGAAGCAGGCTCCATGCACCGGGAGCCTGACGTGGGATTCGATTCCGGGTCTCCAGGATCGCGCCCTGAGCCAAAGGCAGGCGCTAAACCGCTGCGCCACCCAGGGATCCCCCTTACTTATTTTTTAAAAAGATTTTATTTATTTATTCATGAGAGAGAGAGACACACACACAGACACAGGCAGAGGGAGAAACAGGCTCCATGCAGGGAACCTGACATGGGACTTGATCCCAGGTCTCCAAGATTATGCCCTGGGCTGAAGGCTGTGCTAAATCGCTGAGCCACCCGGGCTGCCCTACAATCTATTTTTAAGTGGTGTTTGTGTATGGTGTGAAATAGGAGTTAAGAATAATTTTTTTCACATGATCATCCAGTCCAGTTGACTTAGTACCATTAGTACCATTGCATGGTAGTGTCACCTTTGTCATATAAGTACCCAAAGATATGAGGATCAGTTTCTGTACTCTTTATTCTGTTCCTTTGGGCTGTTTGCCTATCCTTGAGCCAACACCACATGTCCTACGTACTGGAGATTTATAATAAGTCTTGCTATTTGGTAGAAATATTTTTTTTAAGAAAAAGGGCAGGGACGCCTGGGTGTATCAGCGGCTGGGCATCTGCCTTGGGTTCAGGGTGTGATCCCAGTCCGGGAATCGGGTCCCCCCCGCCCATCGGGCTCCCTGTGGGGGGCCTGCTTCTCCCTCTGCCTGTGTCTGCTGCCTGTGTCTCTGCTTCTCTCTCTGTCTCTCATGAATAAATATGCCTCTCATGAATAAATAAATAAAATCTTAAAAAAAAAAAAAGAAAAAGGGCAAAAAACCTATCTCTATTTACATGTCTTAAATCACCCTTACCTAACAGCCAACAGTCTAAGTGGCTGCCACAGCAGAACTGTTCCTGGCAGAGCACCTAAAATGGTTCTCTCCCATCACTGCTCTTTAGGTCAGTCTAAGATAGCAGAGGCCCAATTTAGGGGAGCAGGAGGAGGGCCAAGAAACGGTCCTTTCATAAGACCGGTAATACCTATGATAGACCTGATCTCACAGGGATGTTCTGAGAACCGAACAAAACACTATGTAAAGTGGTTATTACAATCCATGTCACATAACTATATATATTATTATTTATTGCTATTTTTATTCTTATGTTCATAATTTTATGTTCATAATTATATATATTATATATTAACTTTTATTTATATATTTATTTTTAAAGATTTTATTTATTTATTTATGATAGAGAAAGTGAGAGAGAGGCAGAGACACAGGCAGAGGGAGAAGCAGGCTCCATGCCGGGAGCCCGACGCGGGACTCGATCCCGGGACTCCAGGATTGCGCCGTGGGCCAAAGGCAGGCACCAAACCACTGAGCTACCCAGGGATCCCCTATATTAAC